GGATCGTGAAGATTAACAAGTGTAATTTCGAAGACAAAATGGCTACCCTGGGTACCATTGAACCGTTCAACGCGAGTGACCCATCGGGATGGGAACCGTACCAGGAACGAATTGAGTTCTTCTTGGCGGCAAGGACGCAGAAAAAAAGAAAGCAGTTTTTTGAGCCTGTGCGGGCCGTCGAGCTATGAGATCATCCGCTCGGTGATAGCACCGGCGAAAGTTAAGGACAAAACCTACGACGACGTTATGAAAGTATTAACGGAGCACTTTGCACCCCGAACATCGGAAATCGTCAACCGTTTCCGTTTCTACAGACGCGACTAACAGCCGGGCGAAAGTTTCGCAGTGTACTAAAAGAACTGAGACAGCTAGCAGAAAGGTGCCATTTTAACAATTTAGAAACCATGTTAAGAGATCGCATTGTTTGCGGAATCCGGGATGATTCCCTCCAAAGATGTCTACTGGTGGAAGAAAAAATTACCTTCTCTAAAGTCCAAGACATGTGCCTTGCACAAGAAGTAGCGGCGCACAGCCTAGCGACGATCAAGGAAGCCGTCACGGAATCAAATGCAACCGGCGGCAAAGATGGTAACAACGAAAGTAGGCCAAGTGCAAAGAAGCAATCAGCAGATTCCGCATCAGGCGGAAAAAAGGGTAAATGCTTTCGCTGTGAATCGGAACATTCTCCGGACACTTGCAAGTTCAAGGGGGTTAAGTGCCAGTACTGTGATAAGGAAGGACACATGGAAAGTGCCTGTTTCGCAAAGAAAAGGCAAATTGCTAGGAAAAAAGTCAATAACGTTGACGAACTTTCGGACACAGACGATACCTATGGCGAGGTAAAGGTCGTAAACGGTGGCCGCGATGGAAGTGGTGCCGTTAAGGGAGTCGTTTTAAATAACGTGCATACAGACACATTGACTGGGAAAATCACGATTGACAGGGACGTTCCTAGGGTTCGTGTCGCCGGCGTGCCGGTTTGATTTTGCCGCCCCCCTTCCTCCTGCTAAAATCGGAAAATGTATACCTACCATAACTAAAACAATTTTTAGATTTTGATGCGTACATTTTTAATTTTTGTTGAATAAAGAAACATTATACATTTTTATTCTACCTATAAATAAACAACACACGCAAAAAACAAGGTTTAGAACTAGGAACTAACACAACATTATGGATACAATATGATTTTATCAACGTTATGAAAACTGGACCTTTCTGGCTTTTTTTGCCGCAAACTCAACCACAAGGTCAGTAACATTTAGGCTTTCACAAATTTCATTTTCAATACTTATGATGGACAAGTCGGAGAGTCTTACTTGGCCCATGGTGGATCTGAAATGATTTTTTATTAATTTCAATTTCGAAAAACTCCTTTCACCAGTAGCCACTGTAACAGGGAGCGTTAAAAGGATTCTTATGGCGATCATTAAATTTGGAAATAGGCTGGCTAGGTGATTGGCAAACAAATATTGGATTACTTCCAAAGCATTCATTGCAGGATTGATATAAGGTGCAATATTTTCAATTTCATGATAGAGTTCTCGAGCCACTATATCACTATGATCATTAGTTGGGTCATAAGAACACAGCAACAAGCGGTCACAGACAGGAGACAGGTATAAGCAGAATTCATTCATTGTTCATATGAGATAAGATATGAGATATGACTCATTTACTGTGTTTGTAAAAGGAGGTATTCTGGTATTCAAAAGGAAAGGATGTTGGTTTTAGGTTTCAGCCTTTCCCTGCGGAATTAAGTAAAGATTTGCAAATTGTAATGTCAGGGACGTAACAACTTAGGAGCGGGCCCTGGTGCAACACCAAACATACGGGCCCCACTGCATCATTAAAAAAAATCACTAGCATAATAGTTTATTGAACAATGCACAAAAACGTATTAGACTGGTTCACTTTTATAAAAAACAGCGTTTTAACGGGTTCTAGGGGCATTTCAGACAACATTTGGCCAAATAGGCGTTTTTTACTAATTTGGACCAGCTGAACACGAATATCGATGTTGGCATCTCGAAATCTGAACACGAAGTCCATAATTCAAGATGGCGGCCAATTTCCGAAAATGTTGATATGTAAATTAGGCTTAACGTCAAAGTGCGTAAAAGTGGATTCCTTTTTTTTCTACTATGGCTACTGTTTAAATTTCTTCACATCGTGTAATTATTAAACTATTTCTGTTTTGGCAAGCATTTTGGTTCCTGTCCGTCGTGTGAAAGATATCCGCGATGGTCCATGACCTCACATATGGAAGAATTTCCTTTTATTAGAGGAAAACAAAAGAAATCATGTCGCATCACCTTGAAGAGGCCTCATTTGACGGCGTACTGGTGATTGCGAGAGGCTTCAATGATGAAAGAAAAGTTTACTGTAACCGTCAGACGACACAGATTTCCTCCTTAGAAGCTTTTCACAAGGAAGCGGATACTAGGATAACACTACAGATATAGATGCATTTCTGTTGCTTCTTCATCACTTCGAGGAGCTGCGAAGCTTAGGATCTAACAATTCTGAACTCCATTCTCTTGCGATTCCATCTAATCTTCTCTAGCATTTCATCCATTTCCATCATTACGGCATATCAGGTGTAAATCTCAAGACTTTTTTTATCTTATAAACTATGAAATCTCGCTCAGACTACCTTATCTATCCTGAACTGAAAATTCCAGCGTTAGATTAATTCCGAAGGCTGCGCTAGATATCGCCCTTTGTCCTTGTAAAAGGATTGCTCGTCAAAACTTTGTAAAAATATCGCAAAGCTCAATTGATTTGTACTACCTAATTGTCAAGAAGACGATTGACCTAACACCATGAGAATAACGAAGGTGCTAATAAATTTGTATTCACTTTTCTATATGCTTTCATCCTTTAATAATAATAATATATCCTGAGGAACGGTAATTAATACCTAGCAAAATAAGAATCTTCCGAAACACTGCAGTATAATTGAACTCCCTTCATTTTTTTCATTTAAAAATTAACGTAAAATTCGAAAGATTGTAGTTATCAAAACTTTATAAGGAATTATACAATATAAACGCATGTCGGGAATACTTATATTTGTCAGGATTACTAGAAACAATCGTTTTGCAAGTCCTCATTTTAGCAAGGGGAACTGGGAATTTCGTAATTCTTAATTTTACGCATCCTGCATCCTCCTATTACGTTATTGTTAAAACAATAGTTAACTATTATTATCGTGAAGTACCTCAGGAATAACATTATAATCTGTGTTTAGATTGAAAAAATGGGTCGCTTCTAAGGAGGAAACCTGTGTCGTCTGACGGTTACAGAAAACGTTTCTTTAATCATTGAAGCCTCCAGCAATCACACGACGCACAGTAACTAAAATGCTTGCCAAAACAGAAATAATTTAATACTTACACGATGTGAAGAAATTTAAACAGTAGCCATAGTACTATGAAAAAAAGGTTTTTCACTTTTACGCACTTTCAGGGTAGAAAAACTATGAAATCAGTGTTTAAACATTTTGTCACGATTATCATAGTGCCATACCTCCGTCAGGAATAACATTATAATCCGTTTTTAATTCGAAAAAATCAGTCGCATGAGTGAAAATATCAACATTTTCGAAAATTGGCCGCCATCTTGAATTCTGGACTTCCTGTTCAGATTTCGAGGTGCCAACGTCGATATTCGTGTTCAGCAGGTACCACTTAGTAAAAAAAGCCTATTTGGCCAAATGTTGTCTGAAATGCCCCTAGGACAGAGAATCTTCGAAAAGTGAACCAGTCTATATGGCTGAACAATGGTAACCAACATGATAACATAAATTCAATTCAATATAAGACAGCTTAATTACAAGTACTAAAAAAAGTCTACTTTTCTTGCCTTTTGATGAGCAAACAGAGAAATTACATTATGTAAATCTAATGTTCTGGCTGTTTCATTTTCAATTGATAATATTGCCAAAGCTGAAAGTCTGCTTTGTGACATTTTACTTCGTAAATAGATTTTAATCAATTTTAGGATGGAAAATGATCTTTCCGAAGATGATACCGATATGGGAATTGTCAGGTAGAGTATAAAAGCACAACACACTTCCTTAAATGAACTTAATATCATTGGATCGCAAATAACCAATTTTGCCAAGTCATGAATTGAAATATTTGAGTTTATTTGTTCTTTATAAACGTGTCTGAATGACAAAAGTTCTTGTGCAAATGAGCTCGATAAATCATTGGGATAAAAGTTAATTAAATTTTCAGTTAGCTGTATTAAATCTGAGTCCGAGTGATCTTTTAAAACTGAAGGGAAAAGCACCTTAAATCTTTCAACTATGCTATTTAGTCCTTTGAATCGATTTTTAATTTGTGAAATAATGACGTCCAATGTAAGATTAAACACAGAAACACGGAAGTTCTCCTGTAAATTTGTTAGTCGTTCGTCAGATGACAGCTCATCGAATTGCTTTTTCACTCTGCGAAGTCGTGAATTTTTGAAATGCGGTTGAATTCCCCAACTACGGGCTAAATCAGCAGCTTCATTTACAATTTCCGAAAAATTTTCCCTAATCCTTGAAATATCTTCCTTAGCAGATTTCAAGAGTTTTGAGGCTCTTTCAATATCTTGATTTTTGCTCTGCAGTGCATTGGATACAATTTTGGTAATGCTTAAGATTTTATATTCCATCACTATTATCACAACTGTTTCAAAATTTTCGAGTTTTTTCTTCAATCCGAGAGCTTCACTTTGTTCAGTTACTTTTGAACTTGTTAAAGATAATTTGGTTAAAACTTGCAAAATTTCTCGATAGTGAAACCTCATGCTATGAAGGGAACCATAACGGGACGACCATCGCGTGGGACACAACCGTTTCAAAGTATGCTTTTTGGATTCAAAGGTTTCCATCAACATTGCCCATCGTTTTATGCTATGTGCAAAAAACGCATACAGACATTCCACAGTGTCGTAAAAATTGTGTAACTCTCTCGAAATTTTTATAGAGTCGTTGATGACTAAGTTTAAATTGTGTGCAGTATATGTACATACAACGCATTGGGCTGTTTCTCCAAAATCTTCGCTTGCAGACCGTTGTAAATACCGCTCATGTTGGCTGCACCATCGTAACCTTGAGCTCGTAGTTTTTCCACGCTCAAATTATTTTTTTCAAAAAAAGATAATAACTGATTTACCATGTCCTCTGCCGATTGTCCTCCAGACTCTTCAAATCCAAGAAAAATTTCTTTTACAACCACATCATTTACAATATTTACATTATCTGCGTCTTTAATGAGGTGCAGAAATCTTATTACAAAGCTCACTTGATCAACTTTTGCGATGTTCTGTGTTGTGTCCATTATTATTGAAAAAAATGGAGATTCATTTATCTGGCCAATTAATTTAGTTTTCACCTCTGTGGCTAAGAGTTCGATAATTTCGTTCTGAATCGTTGGTGACAAATATTTCACAGAATTCTTGTCTTTGGATAAAAGCTCCTGTAAAACAGGATCATAAATTGCCAACAATTTTATAATATTTAAAAAATTGCCACGATTATTATCACCATCATACAATGACTCATGAGCTCCTCTGAAAGATACATTATTTTCAGCCAAAGTTAAAGTAACGTTAATAACTCGTTCAAGCACTTTAACCCAATAATTGGTCTCAAATTTCATCTTTTTGTCCAAATCCATATCTATAATTTGATCACTTTTCCATTTGCTATATACCTGGCATGCAAAAAGGTGATTATTGGATGATTCGTGATAAGTGATGCTCCTAGAAATATGTCGCCAATCATTAAAGCCATTTACCCAGTTTAGTGCTCCACGATTTTTAATATCGCCAAAAACCCAGCAAGGTTCACAGTAAGCCACATCCAATATTGGTGAGTAACATAACCAATTTCTTCTATACACAACACCCGACTTCGATGTTTGAGTGTAGTACGTTAAACTGAATGATCGACCTTCTGAATTTTTTGGAAATTGTACATTTTCTGGTTGACACGGGCCATGTTTTACAATAAATCTCTTATCAGAATCGCTTAGAACATTACTAAAATTGGATTTTTCGGTCCTAAGGTTAGACACTGTTGAATCACACAAATCGATAGAAGACGATGAAATTGCGTTAATGTCGGCTATTTGAACTTTATCTTCCATACTCCTTGATGTGCTTGGTGTCGCTGTCGATGTTGAAAAGGCCGATGATGGTGGAGAGTTATCATTATTTTTTTCTTTCTCTTGAGGTTCAGGTTTAGGATGATTTTCCACAGAATGAAAAAACGATGTCAATTTGGGTAATTTTTCTTTTTTGCGATCTTCAATTTCTTTGCGTTTTCGCTTCTCAGCTCCAGACAGATGTTTATAGTGGCTCATTGTTACTTATATGTGATTATGATGACGATTAGTAGGTCATCATGCACTAATACAATTACTCTTTCAGTGGCACTGTAAAAGCCAAAGAAAGTAATGATAATTATTAATCGTAATGGGTACCTATTGAAGTTTATTTATTCATTTAACACAAAATTGACAAAATTATTTTACGTAATGTATATTTTACAATTTTACATACCTTCTAATACTGCCGATTTGTAATTGTAACCCAGCATCAACGATGTACGTAAAAATAAAAGTTTTGAGCCTTAACGATATACGATTCGATTAATGAAAAACTAACACTCGTGAGTTGGCCGTTGGGGCACGCACAAACTGACAAAAGCGAAAAACGAAACAAACAAATTATTGAATCCAGTGTAATAACTTTTAATTTTAAAACCTTAGAAACACAATTTAAAATAACTTCGAAGCGAAGGGTAAAGTATTAAGGCTGTGTCTTTCCATTCTCTGGTAAACTTACTGTTATCTTTATCCTGTCGGTAAACATCCTTTTACGTCTTTCCAACGCCTGGTAACAGTATCAGGCACATAAATAATACTTAACTGTAAGATTGTCTACCAAGCAGTTGAAGTAGCAAATAAGAAGTTAACAGGCATATAATATCTTCGGCGCATGCGTTTCTAACCTATAATTTAATGTTTTATTATATTTATTTTTGCACGTTTAAATATTAGTGTTTATTAAAAAAAAATGGATGAAGATTTTAGAGATTTATTTTCATCAAGTGACGAAGAATTGCTGGGAGTGGAGGTGCATCGTCCATATACTATTCGGGAGAGAAACCATCATTTTGATGACTGGGATGATGTCGATTTCTTTCGACGATTTCGACTATCCAAACAATCTGTGGAAGTTGTGTTAAATTTAATTCAAAACCAAATACAGCATCGAACTAACCGAAACCATGCAATATCACCGATGAATCAATTACTAATTGCTTTACGGTTTTATGCAGTGGGAAATCCTTATGCTGCCGCAGGAGATTTCGGAGGAGTGCATAAATCTACTGCAGGAGTAATTATAAAACGAGTTACAACAGCTATAAGTACGTTGCGACGGCAATTTGTATCACTTCCAACAACACCCGATGAAGTAACGTCGACACAAGAAGGGTTTTACAATATAGCTCGCTTTCCTCGTGTACTTGGTGCCATCGACTGTACCCATGTACGTATAAAATCACCGGGTGGTGAAAGAGCAGAAAATTTCCGAAATAGGAAAGGTTATTTTTCACTCAACGTGCAAGTAGTTGCCGATTCAAAATTAAGAATTACTGATATTGTGGCTCGCTGGCCAGGGTCGTCACATGACTCGACAATATTTCATAACTCCAGACTGAAATATCGTCTTGAAAGTGGTGAATTTCGAGATGGTCTATTACTAGGTGATAGTGGTTATGGTGTGAAGAGGTATCTCATACCACCACTGGCAAACCCAGGAAATGCTAGCGAACACTTATTTAACGAGTCCCAAATTAGGACACGAAATGTTGTTGAACGTACGTTTGGTGTATGGAAGAAACGATTTCCAATATTGTCTATTGGAATGGAGCAATCACTTCCACTGGTTCAAGATATAATTGTGACCACTGCAATTTTGCACAATATTGCATGCGACAACGGAGAATTGCTGGAAGACGATTTAGAACAAATCGAAAATGAGCAAAATAATGGATTAAACAATTTTGGAGCATTGGATGTAGGGGACAATGCTGTTCGCAATGCATTAATTTATGATTACTTTGCAAGATTATTATAAGAATAAAAACTATACCAATATATTTTATACATAATAAACTGATTATATTTATTGTAATTTTCTTAATTCTATTCTTTTTTTTTCATTGTCAAGTTGCAGTCCTTCATGTATTGCTTCTTCAACATCCCGCTTTTTAATTTTGGTTTCCAACTCCATTTTCAGGCATGCATTGCGCAATTCGTGCTCCTCTTCTTTATGCAACTTTTCAGTTTCTGCCAGTTGCAGTTGGATCTTCGCCAGCTCTATTTTGGCTTCCGCCAATAGATTTATAGAATGGGATTTATTTTGTTTGGATGTCGCTGCTATAAAAAAACCCATTCATAATTATGTTATCTTCAAGTCAAAAAGTAATACCTACGTAGGCTTAATCTTTTATTTCTAGGTTGCTTTAACGCAGCTGGACTCCATTGAGACCAGTCATAAGTCTCGCTACTTCCTACTTCCGATGTAATACCCTCATTCTCATTGCCACTACTTGATGGGCCATTGGTAGAAAGAGGTGCAGGGTTACATTCTGGAGATATCTAAAAAAATAATGTTTTTACCTACAGAAGGAAATGTAATTGCGTCGAAATTTAATATAAGGTACACCGGGGAAAGTGTCAATTTGGGGCAAGTGGAACCCATCGCGATAATTATTTTAAAATATACCATTCACAGTGCCATCTGCCGGTGAATCACTTCAATGTAATGTGCACTTGCGCTACAGATCACAATACTACCCATATCTCATACGGCTTTCCCGCCAGCGTGAAATAACCTTCAACGTGTTTGTTTTGGTCGTAAGTGCAGTGCAGCGATTGTGCATTTAACTGGAAATAAAACGATTACTTATTGCTTTTTTCTGTGGGTTGTTGGTGAGTATCGCAAATATAGATTTAAGGTACAGCTGTTGTGTGATATTTTGCTGGTCTAAACGTTTCTGTATGTTCAACCGTGTGGGTTACACTTACCCCCGGAAAAATCCCTCTTGGGGTAAATGGCACCTACTAAGGGTGACACTTCCCCCCTGTAGGTTCCACTTAACTCTTCATTATCTTTCTCTTGATTCCTTGGTTTTCTTATCTCTAATTATGCCCATATTTTTCAAGAAAATGCCACGAACGTATATCCGGAAGACCAAACCACCTGAATACACCAAGGAGGATCTTGAATCGGCAGTACAGGCGGTTAAAAACGGAGAACTTACTATGTATAGAGCGGCAAAAACCTATAAAATACCCAAAGCAACCATTTATAAACGTGTGAAAGGTTTGCGTGGCGTGAAGAGTAGTTCTTTGGGTAGAGCACCTGCGCTTCCTCATGATGTTGAAGAAAAAATCGCGTCAGGAATCAAGATAATGGAGAAATGGGGATTTGGTTTGTCGAAAAAAGAAGTTTTGGAAACCATCGGTCGTTACATTAATGCTAACAACATCAAGACACCTTTCCGAAATGGCATTCCAGGAAACGATTTTTTTTCAAGATTTAAAAGAGACCATAATTTAAGCCAAAAGAAACCGCAAGCTGTAGAAGTAGCCCGCAAACGTAGCATGGACCCTTTTATAATAAATAGTTATTTCAACCTGCTTAAAAAGAATATTCAAAATATACCAGCGTCGCAAATCTACAATATTGATGAGACAAGTTTTTGTGTAGACCCAGCTCGAATTAAAGTTGTAGGTGAAAGAGGGACAGCAGCTCATCGGGTTACAAGTGGCCCAGGTAGAGAAAACATCACTGTCCTCTTTGGGGGCAATGCTGCTGGGGAGAAGCTGCCTCCCCTAATTGTATTTAGAGGAAAAAATGTCTGGGACAGTTGGCTGTCAATAAAGGAGGGGTATCCGGGAATGACATATGCTGCGTCCAAAAATGGGTGGATGGATACGCAAACTTTTGAAAATTATTTTCAAAATAATTTTTTAAAAAACGTTTGTCCCGAAAGACCTGTGGTTTTAATTTATGATGGCCATAATTCGCATGTGGGGGTATCATTGGTAGAAATGGCCATGAAACAAAAAGTTGTTATCTTAAAGTTACCTGCTCATTCGAGTCATTTGCTCCAACCAATGGACCTGGCGGTATTTCGGCCATTGAAAATAATGTATGATGAAGAACTTATAAAATGGCAACGACGTAATTATGGACATAAGCTCCCAAAGTCAGAATTTGCCTCAATTATTTCACGTATCTGGCGCAATGCAAATCCGGCAATAATAGCAAAAGGATTTGAGAAAGGTGGCATTCATCCATTTAACAATGCGGTGATTCCAGAAGAAAAATTTGAGACGGGTGCATATCAGAGATGGCGTCAAAGTCAAGAAATAGGTGATAATATTTCCAATGGTGGCATCTCCATTCAGCAAGCAGATGTGCCCCAAAATGAAGAGCACCAAACAGCTGATAGCATTTTCAGAGAGGTCGTGACTAGTAACACTGTAGATCCGATGCCATCGACTTCTAGTTCAATTTTACCAACTGTTGTTCAAGAAAATTTATCTTTCGAAACGATGCTTCTCGAACAGCTAAAACAGGCACCAAGAACGTCAAGTAAGCGAAGACGCGTATGTGCTGGAGCGGAGGTAATAACAACACAAGAAGCACTAGAGAAACTGAAGGAATCAAGACGAGGAAATACACAGACTAAAAAGAAAGCACAAGAAAAGAATAAAGCAAACCAAGGAGATGATATAAATGATGAGCAATCGTCAAATGACGAAATTGATAGAGATCAATTACCATCTGATTCAGAAGATGATACCAATTTAGAAGATGAAGCAGATGAGTATAACGAAGAAAATGAGTTTATGGGGATGTTGAACAAAAAATGTGAAGAGTTAGAAAAAGATGATTGGATATTGGTGAAGTTTGCTTCAAAGAAGAGCTTCAAGTGTTATGTCGGGCAAGTAACGCAAGCAAACAGTGAACTGGAAGCAACATTTGCTCGAAAAATAGGCTCTTCGAACTACTTTCACTTTCCTGTGGTCGCAGATACTTCTGTGTTTTCTCTGGACCAAGTCATAATGATTTTACCCAAACCAATACTTAAGAGGGGAAAGTTTACCTTCAATGTATCTTTTGATAGTCTCAATGTGAATTAAAAATCAAAACAGTAAAATTTTTTTCTAGATAATTTAACGTTGACTTTTCATTCCACTTACCCCACATACTTTAATACGCGTTTTTAGCTAAAATATCCACATGGTTTACACTTAACCCATTGCGTTTTTTGGGCATAATTTTTTATAACACAAAATGTTGTCAGCATATCGTCACAAATTTATTTACATGTGCAGTGAACATATGAGACAATGTACGTTTAAAATTTCGCAGCAATTGGTGAGAAAATAACGATTTTGTGAAAGATTAAACTTGAACTATTGAAAATCGCGGCTCCACTTCCCCCGGTGTACCTTACCTGGACTGTATCAACACAATCTGTGTTTATTTCTTCGAAAATCACTTCAGCCTCGGCTATTTCTTCTGCAGTTGTTTGAGTAACTAAAGGTTCCACTAAAAGCATAGAGTTTTATGAAACATACAATATAGGTAATTTAACTGTTCATTACTTTTATCATTATCAGATGTCGATATCAAACCATCACATGTTATAGCGATGATAAGAAGTAATTTTTCTTCCCAATCAGTAAATGTGATTATTACAGGCTCACCACCACCAGTACGGAATAACTCCTGGCGTTGGATGGCCTTTTTCTTCCGCAAGTCCTTCTTTAACCCTTCATATTTAGTTTTTATAGATTTTAAACTACGTGGGACGCGCCCGCTACTACAATTAAACTCCTTCGTTAACAGTTCCCATGCACTTGCTTTCTGTTTCCACGTAACAGTGTCCGATTTAGCACATTCGATTGTCTTCGAATATTTCACAACAAGATCCACAAGTAAACGAATCTCACTGTCTGCAAAATTGCTTCCGCGTTCCTTTTTCGTGTCAGACATTTCAAATAAAATAATATTTGAATAACGGCAATAACACCAATAATAAACGTAATAAACAAAAACACGTGCTATTATTTAAGGTTATGCTGAACCAACAATAACTAAAGTGAAGCTAGTAGCAGACAAATTTTATACTACCCCACCTGAAAACATTTTTAAGTGCCTGGTACGTACCAAATGGTTGTTTCTCACTTGATAGACGCGGTACCAACTACATAAATTTATGTCACTGTTTGTTACCTACAGCTTTACCAGTAACTTGGAAAGACACAGCCTAAGTAAAACTGCAATGCAAGTGCAAGAAAAGAAATGTTCTTTAAAATACGCGTAGGTAGCAAAACAAACGAACGAATATGATTTATGGTTACTGAACTAAAATTATTAACATCAAGAATGCCGCATCGGCATGAGGCATCATATAACACTTTTTACTGGTAAATTTGCTTAAACGTGATGGACGTGTTGTAAAGGGATTAAAATGAATTCTTAAGCACTCCCTAAACGATCAAGCGGTTTGATCAAATGTTTGATCAAGCCGCTTGACGCGCGCTTCAAACAACCATCAAGCAGGCCTTCAAACATTTGATCAAACCTCATCAGATATTTTGTTTAGTTCGTTAGTAGTTTGTTCATTCGTGCGGTTCATTCGCTAAATAGTTGTCAGTGTTGTTTTGTGAGCTTCAAGTGATGGTTTCAAATACTGATTTGGCCTTCCTGGCCCTAACATTGGTTGTCCTCAACAAGCGGAAAAAAGAGAAAACGACGGTGGTCCAAGGAGTGGTACAAAATGAGAAACCGTTTTTCTCATGACCATTTAATACGTTTTCTGCGGATTTAGGAACCAGAAGACTATAGGAACTTTTTGAGAATGGACGGAGAAAGTTTCGATTATCTGCTGGAGTTAGTAAGGCCCGACATCGAGAAGAAGGATACAAATATGCGTGAAGCGATTCCTGCAAGCCAGAGACTGTCTATCACACTGAGGTATCTAGCGTCTGGTGCAGATTTGGAAGACCTAAAATTCACTTGCGCCATAGCACCTCAAACTCTGGAGTCCATCATAATGGAAACTTGTTCGGCAATAACGAAGGCATTGAAGAAAAACATTCAGGTAATTATTTTTGAAGTAAATCTATTTATATTTTATTAAGAAAAAGCACAATGAATGTTAAATACATTTAAAAACAAAAGTTCACATTGAGGTAAATGAAAAAAAATTTGTCGCAGTCTCATTGTCTTGGTTTTGTCCATGATGAAAAGAAGGGCTTGGATGCGATGAGTAGATAGGCTGCGCTGAGTTGGAGTAGTCTTGCCAATTTGAACTATTCAATGATGATGAAGGTGATGTTGAAGGTGTCCAGGGTCGAATAAATTTCACTCCTTCCCTTGTTAGGGTGCCCATTTCGGTTTCAAAAATTGTATCATTAATAATTTTTTCCGCAAAACGTCGTTGATCCGGAGGAATTTTTCATAGCCCACCCCTTGGCCATAATGTCCTCTTCGGTCTCAGGCCGCTTGAAATATTCGGTGGCTAGTCCCACTAATTGCTCATTAGTGTCTACTCCTTTCCTTTTATTCCTTTTTTTGAGGAGGGGGGGCTGGGTTAGAAGTTGGCGTTGTATGAATTCCAGAAGGAGATGTACTTTCTGAATCTTGAGATAGCTGCGAGTCGACATCAGGCGGTGGCTGTAACAAAAAGTAAAATACGGTTCATATAAGCTTACGAAATGTAGGCATATAAACAATTTATTACTACTAATATTTTTTAGTACGAAGTAATAGGTACTTTTTTTAAATGTGGTAATTCTTACGTAAACTTTAAAATGCTAGTATCGTTTTTAGCGCATTTCCACAAAAATAAAAAAAAATGCGCTATTGTGGCCACTTTGTCCGTCCGTCCGTCCGTCCGTCCGCTAACTTTGCGACGCTACTAGTTTTTTTATCTTAAGAGCTATTGTTCTACTTTTTTCGCTATTTGGTTCGTTATGGTGTCGAGTCTTGTACCAAGGAAGGAATTTTTTCTGTACCGCTTACAAAAAAAGTTATTGTAAAAAAAACAAAAAACCGTTTTTTACATGTTCCATAATTTTACACTTTTGCCGTTTATTAACGATCCTAGGGATCGTTTATAATTTTGCATTGCTATCTGTCGCCTGCCGGTTGGTCTCTCCGTCTGTTCCTTTGTCTGTCTGTCCATCTATCTGTCCGTGTGAACGATAACTTTGTTTAGAAATGTCCGATCGCTTTTACATCTCCGTTAGTTATGAACTGAATTGCATGAAATTCAATATGGGCATAGATTTAGCCATATAATACGCAATGCCAAAAGTTGAATCGAATCGATTCAAAATTCACAGTGCCCTTTTCGCATCTCGACCATTTATAAACCGAATTGCAAACTTTTTTACTTATAAAAGTATTTGAATGAAATTTGATACATAGGCACTTGCAATAAAGGAAAATCAAACGCCAATTTCAAAATTTGGTTTTGCGCATGCGCAGTGCCAACTTTTTTATTTATGGAAGAATTTAAACGAAATTTGATACATAAGCACTTCGAATAAAGGAAAATCAAACGCCAATTTCAAAATTTGGTTTTGCGCATGCGCAGTGCCAACTTTTTTATTTATGGAAGAATTTAAACGAAATTTGATACATAGGCACTTGGGATAAAGGAAAATCAAACGCCAATTTCAAAAATTGGTTTTGCGCATGCGCAGTGCCAACTTTTTTATTTATGGAAGAATTTAAACGAAATTTATCCATAGGCACTTGGGATAAAGGAAAATCAAACGCCAATTTCTTTCAAAATTTGGTTTTGCGCATGCGCAGTGCCAACTTTTTTATTTATGGAAGAATTTAAATGAAATGTGATACATAGGCACTTGGAATAAAGAAAAATCTAGCGCCAGTTTCAAAATTTTATTTTGCGCATGCGCCGTGCCAACGTTTTTATCTATGGAACTATTTAAGTGAAATTTGATACTTAGGCGCTTGGAACAAAGGAAAATCTTAGTTTATTAGTTAGTTATAGTAAATTAGTTTTAAAATTTAGGTTTGCGCATGCGCAGTTCCAACTTTCTTATTTAGAAAAGCATTGAAATGAAATTCTTCTCATAAACTGAAATTGAAGTCAAAAATGGATTGCCCATGTGCAACGCTATCTTTCATATTTGTGGCCGGATTTTTACGATTTTAATAGAAGTTGCATCTTACAATAATGGGAAATGAATGCAAGTGGAAATGCGCTTTATGTAAATCGTTTACGATTACTTTTTAACTTGTTTGTTTTTCGTTTAGGTTCCGAAATCGCAAGATGGATGGGAAAGAGTATCGCAGGAGTTCGAAGAACAATGGAATTTCCCCAATTGCTTAGGGAGCGCTGACGGTAAACACGTGGCAATCCAAAAACCACCCAATTCCGGATCATACTATTACAATTACAAGGGATATTTCAGCATTGTGCTTATGGCTGTTGTTGATGCTAACTACAAATTTCTGATGGTGGATGTGGGAGCGAATGGTCGAGTGTCTGATGGTGGCGTTATGAAAAACACCTTATTTTGGCGCAAGTTGTCTGAGAACCAGCTTAACTTGCCTGATCCTCGACAGTTACCAGGCACTTCTAAGAAATGTCCGTACGTGTTTCTTGGCGATGAAGCTTTCCAACTTCACCCTAATTTCATGAAACCGTACAATAGGGCTGCTCTGACAAATGATAAAACGATTTACAACTACAGACTCTCCCGAGCCAGAAGAGTCGTGGAGAATGCGTTCGGAATATTAACGAAAAGATTTAAAATATTTCAAAAACCCATTAAATTTGAGCCATTAAAAGTTAGAAAAATCGTTATGACATATTGCCATTTGCATAACTATTTATGCTCAAAAAACAGAGCTAACTATTTGCCACCTCAGGACATTGACAATGAAGACGTTACTACTGGTGCTAAGGAACTTGGGTCATGGAGACAAGACACTCCACAGATGCTTTCCCTTCAAAAGACTAAAGGCAATGCAACAGTATTAGCAAAAACAATAAGGGACGACTTCTGCGAGTTCTTTAACACCTCTGGGGCAGTTGCGTGGCAAAATAAGTACCTCATTATTAATAAGTGACAATATTTAGTGTTGATATATATTTAGGTTTTGAGTTAAGTACCTACTGTATTCGTGTAATACTAAACTAATTAAAAATGTACAATAAAAATAAAATAAAAAATGAAGATATAAATACTTACCTCAGAAGTCCGTATCCGTAGATGTTCCTGATACTTTTTTCCCCTCGATGACCTTATACATTCTATTAAAACTTGTTCTCAAATTATTAATTTTTGCTTTCAAAAGCTTCACTGTAAAATCTGGTTTCAGTACTTTTAAGGCCTCTACGATTTTTTCCAACGCTGCATTTTTTTTATTTCTATTAAAATAATCCTTGCTTTTCACCTTCCACAATTCGGGAGAATCCGGTACAAGTCAATTAACAAGGTTATAAATTCCCGTTCCGAGTTTTCACATTCACTCTCCATGGTTTTCGCCTAGTGACTGACGCAATGTTTGACAAAAACCGTTCTAGACGATCAATCCCCTCTCCAACCGTTTGAGTCAAACAAACTTTCTATCAAACAACATCAAACCTCGCTTCAAACGTCAAACAAGTTTCTACACGTTCAAACACGTTTGATCAAACATTTGATCAAACCGCTTGATCGTTTAGGGAGTGCTTTAGAGTCGGTCCCTACCACAGTGCGCTTATCTCTTAAAGGAAGGATTATGATTCATGAAGGTCTGCCGATATATTGCTAAATTTACATTTTAACAGAATAAGTACAATAATAACCAATTTCTTAAAATCCTTCTGTACCCCATATTTTCTAGTAATTTCTTGTTCTAACATTATACCTTTCATTCATTATGTAACAGTAACATAGAAATAGTTTAAACAAAGTAAACGCCGGGCCGGGCCCCTTCGGCGCCCGGGCCCTGGTGCGTCGCACCAGTTGCACCTCCTGTTGCTACGTCCCTGTGTAATGTAATACAGAGTGAGACGCGCATCTGACGATGTTACGCGGTGCAAAAAGATTGTTTTTTAGCTTTAAAAGAACAGTTTGTTTAGGCATTTTATTTATACATTTTCCGCCCCCTTGAATTGCCGCCCGTGTGCGACGCACTTCTTGCACCCTCGGGTTGGAACGCCCCTGACGATTAATGTGGTAATGAATCGAAAAACAATAAGGATGGAAATAGATTCGGGTGCGGCCTACAGTGTGATGGGACAGTCAAGTTTTCGGGACATTTTCGCGGGAAATCTACCGGTGATTCATGCTTCAAACACGCTGTTACGAGATTACCAAAATTCACGGATTTCCGTTCTAGGTGAAGCGGCTATCCAAGTCGAGTTATGGCGGGAAGAAGGCAGAACTACCACTCATTATTATTGAAGCTAATCGGGCCAGCCTCTAGGCAGAAACTGGTTTAAAGCATTGGCTTTGTCAATCGCCGGAATAAGTCTCCTAGGATACCCGGAGGCATTCGAAACTAATCTGGGGAGATAGATACAAAGGACCGCCTCCCACTAAGCAAAAAAGCATTATCGTTGTTAAAACGTTTTGATGAAACACGAAACGCTAAGTACACTTATACGTTTCATAAATGTCACATAAACAGCCTTATGTCCTACCTAAAAACGTTTCATAATAAAACATCGCAGTGATGTTTCAAACTAAACGTTTCTATGCAGTTCATTTAAACGATTCATAGTAGTAACTTTTCTATGGCACTGAAACGTTGGCATATAGATCATGGCAGTGACGTTCTCTTTTAACAGCTTAGGAACGTTGTAGCGATGGTTTCTAATCAATACCTTATATTGCCTTTATTTTATAGTGGGCGGAGTGTTAGCTAATTAGCTATTCTCCCCACTCAACCCACTATACAATCACAAACAGCCATGCCTTACCTGGGATTCGAACCCAGGACCCTTGTAGCCAGAGCTAGAGCTACTAACGTAAAACTCATCTGAGCTACGCAGGTTGGCCTTATATGTCTCGAAAATACCGTTTTTGACTTAATCCGAAAATAGTACAATATTTCTGCAGCACTTTCTCGTTGTAGGTTGATTAGAAATATGTTTCCCCATCAACCTACAACAGTGCCTCAGATTACTAGATTTTCGTAAAAGTCAAAAACAGAGTAGTCTCAAACATCCCAGGTATTGATTTGAAACCATTGAGGGAAATGTACTATGAATTTACATCAAGTTTAATGTTTTATATGGTCTTTATTAAACTTGAAGGTGATTATTTATTCATTAGATTCACTTTTTTTTATCAGATGTTACCAATGAAACTGATCAGATCAGAGACTATAACTAGACTGCGCTTAACGTATCTAAGGTGTTGTCGACACAGTATGCAACACACAATGCACCGCGGGGCAAAAATCGCTGAGATGATATGCAATATAATGAAATAAGCTGTTATTTTAGATGTTCCGTTCATTAATCATTCTCGTGATTAGCTCGAATTAGTGAACAGATAAATTTCTGTTGAGAATAAACCAATAAACTTAGGTCAGCTTGTGCCTATCAACATGTACTCTGTCGATAAATTTTTAAATAATATGCTGATTTTCAACGGATAAAAGTTTAAAGGGCCAATGGATCAGAGCCATTCGAAGAGAAAAATTTACTCCCACCATAGTGCATTTGCGGGAAATGAAGTCGATTTTAGAAAGGTACCTACGAAGGTGTTAAACAATAATGCAATACCGAGCGTTTTCGACTTTCCCATTCTCTTAAAATAACGTAGAACTAACTATTAGTCGACATCCTTTACCAGCAAGGTAAGGGCAGTACCTATTTGCCTATTAGGTATAGACGTAACTAAGTTCTTACTAGTACTAAGTATATTTCAGGTTTTGTTACAAGAAAAATAGCTAAGTCTGTTAAATGTTCCATATGTGCAGGTGCGATATTCGTATCAGAGAGTCATTCAAAGCTTTTAACTAGAAAAAATCGTGGAGGATTGTTGCACGTATCAAGCGATGCATTAAAAATTTGCCAAATTGCTGAAAATGTGTTCAGGTTTTTCATTCAATCCACACCACACCGCGTTGTGAACAAAATGGTTATCAGCAGTCTAAGAAAAATAAATAACAGTTACAGCCCATTTGGGTTTTTGGATAGGCATATTGTTGTGTTTTTTTATTAGGCCGGAGTTGGACGGCATTTATTTACTCTGGAAAGACGTTTATTTCCCATTTTTATGCAGAGGATCGTTGTTTTAGTTCAATTAATGCTCGGCCGGAGTTAATTAAGAAGTTGAAGTCTGGGAAAATCGAATCCGTAATTAGTGTGTTTAAATGTAATAAATTTTGTCTTGTTATTGTTAAATTCGTGGAAGGTAGCAGAGTGCTCGCGCTTTGCACAAGTGTTACTTTCGATAAGGAAACTTTTAGTTGTTTAAGAACGATTTTCATAGGAATTTTGGCGTGGTAAAACTCGTAAAAGTGCCAGTCTAAGTTGATTTACGATCGGTAATAGTTTCATTTATGCAATTATGCTATTGGTCCGCGGAGTCGACCGTTAAGCCTTTTCGGATCCGACATTCAAATTATTCATGGAAAAGCGTGGCAACGAAATTTGACGATACTGGGATATAAATGGTTTTGAACAGCGAAGAGAAGGAGCTTATTGTACCGTTTCGCAAAGCCTACGTTTGTCGTATGTGAAGATTTTTTTTTTGAAAAGTTTATTGTAGCGGCGTTTGCAAAAGTTACGCTAGTTTATTCGTCGAGTGTTGTTATTTTTGAAAGTCCGGGAACGTGTTTTTACGCCGGCATCGTCGAGGAGTTTAAGGTCTTTGGAAGGAGTTTGTTGGAGAGGAAACGAGCGGTACAATAACGCCATTTTGAGCAGCGAGAGTTTGTGTTGTATCTTCCATCATCTGGAGGAGACGGAACGTTTGTTTAACGCCAGCATCGCCGAGGAGCTGTCGGAGTAGCTGTGTCAGCACATACCTGGGGCCGTGTTTGTGCTTTTGTGGGTGCTTCGGTCGTGGGTGCATTTGTAAAAAGGATTTAGCACCGTGAGTACTGTTATTTTTGTTTTAATTTTAATTGTAAGAATCGCCGTCTGAGACGGTTTTGTGTTTCATTTCATGTCAGTCATTTTTTTTTCGGAGTTTGTAAATTTAGCCTTTTAAAATTTTTTTATTTGTGTGTGTAAAGTAAAAGTCAAGGATTCGAGTTTCTCAAATTTTAAGTTTTCTTTTTTTTCCCGAGTGTGAAACGAGTTTGGTAAAGTAAAAAGGTTTGGATCATCGGTGGGACTTAAATTTCATTCCAGAAGTCAGTTAACAAGGGATTAATTTGTTTGGAATTTAAGGGAGGTATTAGCCACCGACCTGGCGAGGTTGCTACCCCTTGTCCGGACGAAGAAAAGGGGTAGTCGGACTCATTTTACGGGCCCTGAGATTTGTGTGTTTATGTGTGGGATTGAGCTAGTAAGGGTAAGTTGTGTGGGTATTTTCAGGCTTAGGAAGTTTACACAACAATATATTGAATCAAAATCCGCTAAATAATCATATCTTACTACTTACATCTTTAGTTTTAAGAGTATATTTTCCCATACGTGTTCACCACCAAAATACACATATAAATCAAATTAGGACTAGAGTAAGGCAGTTATATACCAATTTAGTTCAAATAAAATACCAATAAATTCGATTAAAACAGTTAACAGCTATATGTTATCTTTTTTTGCTACTAAAATTTAGAATAAACATGGCTAAAGCAAGCTGCCGAACGTACGTCTGCCCCGCGATGAACAGTTGGTTGCCTATCCTCTGGATCAGATTTATGAAAATGTATAATATATAATAGTCAAATACATAGGCAAGATACGACGAACCCCATACTTAACAATAATAATAATAATAATAATAATAAGTAAGTACGAATTACATACTATCCCTAGATGTCCAATGTGAGTGTGCGAATATTTATTTTATTTTTTAATTTTTATTTTTCTTTAGAACCCTACATAACTTCACTAGACACAGACACTAATCGTTACTTGATTTTAATCCGTGCGATTAGTTAACCAGGCTAGACCTGAGTTCTCACAAGAAACACCGAC